TAGGACTCAAGCATGAGCAGGGCAGGGGGGGGTGAGGAGGGGAAACCGATAACTCACTTGAAACACTGCCCGTACTGTCCCCGCCAAACGAGTACGGATAATATGAACCAGTTGTTCGTGCGAATACGGCGCAAATGTCAAACGAGTCATCCCCAGACGACTGGCCACTCGCGGATGTAACAATCGTTCCGGCAAATCCATTGTGTTTGCAATGGCCAGCACAATCAGTGGCCATCGACCGCGGGATGAACGTGAGGGCCAATCAAACAGATTGTACAACACATCCTGACGTCGAGTGCACAACAAATCGAGTTCATCAATAACCAGAATGACCGGTTGGATGTCATCTGGTCGGGATTTGGTTCGACCGCCAGTGCCACAGAATTCGCGCTCAAGCTGTTGACAGGCGTGCTTGGCTGATGTCAGTTTCCCCGTCAGTTTCTGATTTCAGAGCATCGTGTTTGACACACAAATTTAAATTAGCATGTACATTGTACTACATTATGTACTACATTATGGCGTGAAATTAAAGTAATGCTGATGAAAGAAACCGTGGACGTGTAAGGCAGAAATCTTGTAGAACCTTCTAAAGCATAGCTTCATTCATGCTAACTGTATCTATCTGTGGATCGAGAGAATTTTTTAGTCAACCGTCACCATATAGAATAACAGTGACATCAACTTCAGCAGTTACGTTCAGAATGCACTGCGTCCAAAGCGGAGGGGGGGCACCGCGCTGAAGGATAATACGCACGAAAGAGTCGAGATGCTCAACACAGTTTTCCAAGTTTTAGAATAAAATTGTCATTAGTTTCACAACTAGCTAGTACTGACCTCTCAGCACAACCAAACAGTTTCCGCACCTACTTCGTGATTTATCGCTTTATCATGACTTGATGCAGATCACGTGATTGTGCGGTTCATGAGCACCATAGTAGTGAAAGCAAAAAACACTAGCGCAGTTATTTCTCCGCACGGCCGTTCCATACCGTTGGATAGTGAGAACTGTGAACACAATGACTTTTGGCAAGCCGGCATTTGAAGCAGATGCACATCTACAAATATGACGATATTACGAAATGTCCCCCAAAAAAACAAAATGATGCAGCAGTCACATGGCACAGGGCATCAACATATTGTCCCGTGCTACATCAACATTTGTTCGGCCGTACACCAAGTACTGAATCGCAAAATCGTGACAAGGAAAAGGTCCTCCAAGGTCCGCAGAGAACGTCAATCAAGGTGGTCAAAAACCTACAGTCCTACATCTATGGTGAACTACAGAAAGCACAGGGACTTCCCTTGATTCAGTATCACCGAATGCGGGGAGATACAACGCATGTATATCAACGTCATCATCCACAGCATACATCTTCAAACATTATTCGTGAATATCCATTTCAAATGACACCGTTCAAAGTTAAATCTCCTAGCGGGTCTGATGAGTCGCAACGGGTAATCTTTTAACATCAGAGTATGCACTAACTGAAACCCTTCCGTCGAAAGTGGCTTGAGCTCTAGTCGACGATTCGATCCAGTTGCGGTTCGATGAAGCATTGAACGTGCAATTTAAAAGTATGATGACGGGTTAGGACAAGCTACAGCTTTTTAAGCTAGCCCTTAACCATGTAGCACACCAGTCGCATGTTTGAAACCTGCCACCATTGCCCTAGTGGTTGGTAGTTTTTGACTGACCTGGATTCTATTCTTGAACATTGATTGTACTTTTTCACTGATTTATCAACTAATTTTTTTGAAAATCCCACTATTAATAATGATTATAATGATGATAAAGTCAGACCCGATGCACTGCTCCCGGAAATACCGCGTTGGTATTGTATTATATTGTATTGTGTATAACTTTTGCAAGCACCGTCACAATGTACATAATTAACTGTGAGAAATTTTTTTACAGACATGGGAACATTTCATAATCCAAGGTTAAGACAAAGTTCGCTTATTGTCCGTCCTTTGTTTATGAGTAGACTAGCAAAATACGGTATAGGTGAATTGCGGTAAACGTTAATTCAAGATGAAACTTGACGGAATCGGGAGTGTGTGGAGGGACGGGAACGACAACGTGCCAGTTCTGCGTGCAATGGGTGGTCGGGATCTGTGAGAATACTCTCCGCTAAGTTCACATAGGAGGTTACGTGATAATCTAGAAGCTTTAAAGCTAACTCATTCACGACTAATAATGGTTAGATCGCGGTGTAAGACTTTGAAAGACTTTGAGTAAGCCAGGAAAAATAACTGGGGAATAGTAGAGTAAGATGGGGAACACACATTGATAAACAAAGGTAAAAATAACTGACTGGGATGAGCGAAACTGCCTGAACTTTCGCATTTGAAATGATAGGCGTCGCAGTTTACTAATGCGGTTGTGGATGTGGGTTGACTAATGAAGATTGCTATCTATGGTTACACCAAGATATTTGACAGAGTTAACCCTAGATGAAGGATGAAAGATGATGAAGATGTCACACTGGGGTCTGTCGAATCTGGAGAGCGAGGAAAACCATAGAAACAATCAACACATTTACTAGGGTTTGGGGTCCGACCCGATGAGGAGGAAAATGACTGAATTTGTTCAAGATGGTCAGTGATGCAGCTTTGATCGGAGTAAGAACAAATGGGTTGGCACAACACGACATCTGCTTATTTCAAAATTCGTGCGGGAGAAACACGGGGAATATCACAAATATAAGTGGAAAATAAGTATGGGGATTGAAATGGTAGATTGAAATCAAAATTGAACAGCGAATCAACCTGGTTGTACAGATGACATTCACCAGCCATACGTAACAAGTTTGGGTGCACAGAACACCATGCAGTCAGGAGTAGGATTTGCTAGGTTATAACAACCAGCAAGCTAAGACAAACAGTGGGGTGGACACGGTGGGATTTTCATGTAGACAGAACAGTCATAAACAGCATGGATTATCACATAAGTATACTTGTGAGTATTAGGTCAGGACAGATCTGTTGAGTTCCCGATGTAATAAAAAAAAGGCGAAAACTTACGTGCAAGATTTGCACGTAAACTTGTTGTGGATCGTTCACTTGCATTCCGTTGACCACAATTTTCCGAAAAGCGGTTGGATTTCCACCGGCTGCGGGGTCAGACATGGCGGCCAGAACCGCATTGACCGAGGCTGTTTTCCCGGTCCCCGGTAAACCGGATATGTACATACACCTGGAATCGATGAGGGTGAGCAGTGCCAGATGTAGATGGGGCAGAATAAACAAAGATTTATTCATTACTTATGAAACGAAGCTAAAGAATGAACAGGAGGGATCGAGTAAATAAATCGGTGGACTTCTTGATTGTTACCCATGGGTCCGACTTTGGCGAACTCATACTCCCGATTCGAAGAAAAAAGTTGCTATTTACGAATCAGATCCCCTTGTGAAAACAACAAATTTAGTGTGATAAACATTACTGCAAGCCTTCTTAATAGAGCTGCCACACCCCATCGATTATCTGCCCACGGGTGAGAATAACGATGGTTTTAAACCTTATCGAGGATTTATCGGAAATATGTTTTACCCTTCGTCGATTCTGTATCAAATATAAGCATGTCTTCTAAAGACCCATCATTTCTATCTTCCCCGATCTAAAAGCGGCTTCCGTTCTCGGGTCCCGTGCACTGTACTGAGTACCTGCAAACGCTAGTTTGTCGGTTTGCCAACACGACCGTGAATTGTGCGGTATTCGCATGGTTCCGTGAGTGGAAGGTTAAAACGCACAGATTGATTACAACTACTGTTTGAGCGTCCATCCCAGACCATTATGCTAGGAATTGGGCTCAACAACACAGCACAGAGTATCCCCAAAGAAGCCAACCGCGTGTGACTCAGTTTTTCAACTAAATGACATTTTTCTTCAATGCTCAAGAAGGGGTTACGAACAGTGTATCGCATCCTTTAAACACGTATCTGAAAGGCTCTGTATAGTTAAGGATGGGTGTCTTGAGTTGTAACCGGTCAACCTTCCCTCGCACCTCGTAAAATCCTTTTATAACAACCAATTGTCTCGAAGCAGTATCCGTCGAGAGAGACCTAATCACTGCCTTCAAGTGACGAATTTGATTTGCCGTCTAAGTGAGAGGATACAAAACTCGCACTTGCGGCGAACCGCTGGCAGTTCGCCCAGGGAAGTTGGCTAAAAACCCTGATTCCAAACTCAGACAAGTGTGAAGTATGATAATAATGACAACTGGGACACATTATCGAAAATAAAAGTAATTTTGCTCAATCAAAGTCTAAATCCGTACACGATGCTGGTGTAGTGATGAGACAAGGTGTAAAAGCAAGGCAAATTCCATGATCCGATGCAAATAGATTCTCGAAAAATTGCAGGAAAATGTGGTGCTAACGAGCATTTTGTGAACTGAATACGACTCGGAAATTATTAACCTTAATATTAGCCTTTGCCGAGGAAGCCCTACTCATTGCGTTCTCCTGGAGCGGAGGTTTTTTCCCATCCAAGTAAGGGGACGAAAAGCCAATATCCGGGTCGGTGAACCACTGGAAGTTTACCTAGGGGAGTAGGCTAAAAACACTGATTACAAATCAACCCCGAGGAGGCGTACGAACCACCAACATCCACACCTTGATTGTGACAGTAGTCACCGGCCCCCAACGGATAGTGGTTTTCACACACCGGCCCGCTGTCTTGCAAGTCAGGTTTTGGCTAACCGAAGGCTCCGGTTGTGAATTCCTCAAAAAAATTCACCGGTTTTGGCCTGGGGAACTTCGCAGTATTCTGCCCACAAATAAATCATGGAGTTTTTTCTTTTTATAATGATAATTGTACGTCTTGATCTGACACAGTCAGGATTCAGACTTTTACGAAATACAAAACATACAATATCAACAGCCGATGAGCGAAAATTCCAAACCGGAATTCCGCCTGTTTTATCACTAACACCAGTAAAGGTTGTGTTGTAAAATTTTAAGAATAATCCCTACCTCATGCGTAAACGAAGTAAATGTTCGAAACGGTACACTTTTTGTCCCCTATTGCTTTTATCTTCACCACTGAAGTGGCGATTCTGATCAGCCTTCTTTACTCCAACGGCCAGCATAGAGCGTGAAATTAGGGGTTTGGACCTAATCTCTTCCATTGCATAATACACTTGATGGTTGATGGATCTCGTCATTTTTTGAGTCTTGCACAATGTCCTAGCTTAGAAATGAGCAGTTTGGATGGAAAATTCTAAGTCAAACTAAATAATTTGTGCAGGAAACTCGTTTGTATAACTACATACTATCTGGAAACAGTGGACAACGAGAGCGGATAGGTCTTGTGTATTATCCTAAGTTTCGAAGGATTCTATGACGAGACACACAAGAAAAAATCAGCAGCCAATCGATTTGAAAGTTTGTACTCATCCATTTGTTGCCCATTCGGACAAATCTACGGAGTGCTGGTGGACAGTCCGGAGACCCGTGGAGAGATCATGACTAGCACCCATCGGACACCTGGGTGCATCAAGATCTCCGAAATGCGGGAAACCGGTCCGAATCTATCTACAAGGACCAAACTGATATCTGTCGTTTTCAACTACCACAGATGTAATAAGCAATTAAAAAAGCTCCACCATGGATTGATTGGCGGTTTGAAACCAAACAAGATAAAAAACTGCTGTGATCGTACGACTTGAGATTTTCAGAATATGATTGATCAGAGATACTGACGCACTCCTAGTACAGAAGACATTGATGCAAGCACAATGTTCTTCCGAGCATCGAACTACGTGGGTAAAAAACGACAAGTGAATACTTACCCACCAGTTCGGTCCATCAGTTTACCCGCGATAAATGTGTAAATATCGTCAAACTCGTTTTCACGTTCTGGTAGACAGCCGTGGATTGTGCGACTGGGGGAATGCAAACGAACATGAGGTAGCAAAGAGCCAAACAAAATGACAACGGAATAGAAAAAAAATTCACGAGAACCATGATGTGCGTGTGTGTGCGTGGTAAAAATAGGTCTCTTCACGAGGACCTGCTGCTCGGTGATGGAAACCGGGACTTGGAATGGTGAACCACACACGTAAGGTCCCCATAGGTCAGGCGTAGTATTGAACTGGACGACAGCGAAGCTACCTACCACCAAAGTTGGGTGGCGGTGGTGGGGCTTGAACCTCGGACCATAGGGTTCAAAGCAAGCAGGTGACAGCGACTAATCCACTGCGGCACCACCACCACCCACACTTATCGGCTGCATCAGTTCCAGGGTAGTCCCCTCCCCCTTCGATTGCACCAAAAGTGACACTTCTCTTCATTCAGCAGGTCCCCGGTCGCCCGGGTTTTATTCCCCATATTTGAGTGCTGAACAGCAGGAGTAAATCCCATTGTTCTGAGAATCCACTCATGATAATCGTCAATCTTAGCCCGAAGAGTTTGAGTGATGAACCACAGAGGACCATTCTAGGATAAGCCTGGCATTGAACCGGACAACAGCCAAGTTGCCTCACACCCAAAG